TTGGCACTGGGTGGGCCGAGCAGCACGAAAAGAAACCGCACCGGAATCGGCACTTCTAGAACTGACTCTAACAGAACCGCTTCCTGCAGTCTCACAAAGGCCATGGTGGGCTGGTCCAGGAAATCCACACTACCTGTGAAAATCGAGATCATCTGTATCATGGCTTGAACAGATGTAACATGTCATGTGCTGACAGTTATGATATCACAGAGTTAAAGGGTTAGTTCACCCAGCGGAGAGATCAAAACAAAACAACGGTTAAGAATTAGAAGTACAAAACGAGGATTTGTAAAGAATAATGTCGGAGTATTTCGATATAAGCCAAGAGAAGACTGGTTTTCCTTTGCTAAAGTAAGGAAACTTTGCTTCCTTTGATCCTGTAAACAAACGGTGGTTTTCACGAGACTCACCGGCGCATGCGCAGCGCTGACCTCATACGTCCTCCCGGAACTGTTTCTGTGTACAACTGCTAGCGCAAGCTAGATTACAGTGATTATTACGTTTTGAATATGGATATTTTTCTTACAAAAATGCATCGATTCACTACAGAAGGCCTTTATTCACCCCCCGAAGCCATGTGAGACACTTTTTTTATGGATGGCCGATTTTTATTTAACTTCTTTTGGACTGAAGCAATGCAACACCCGCTGAGTGCCAAGAAACAGTTAGAAAGATCAAAGACAATTTTTAATAAACTCCGACTGGATTCGTCTGAAAGAAGAAAGTCATATACACCTAGGATGCCTCGGGGCTGAGTAAAACGTAGCCTAATTTTCATTTTTGGGTGAACTAACCCTTTAAACACGGACAGTTAACTGACCCACAAGGACAACCGTTGCTTCTGCATCCTCAGGAATCTTCTCAAGCAGCTTCAGCTCATGTTTAGATTTGGTCTTGTGCAAATCAAAAAACTGGGGTGTGTCTTTCTGTGGAAACAAAGAGGAAAAATTCTAATTTTCTATTCTACCATTCTTTGCCTCCTAAAAACACACACAGATTTGAATGCACACGGTACCTCATTCTTATCGAAGTCTACACTACTGCGTGACTCAAAGTTACGTAGTCCTCCAATGAGCGGGTCTGTGGCAGGGGGCTCCGGCGCGGCGATATGGTTACTGCTATGGTAATGAGATATGAGAGAGCCAAGGCTGGTTGCTGAGATGTTCCGGTTAAACAAGCTGTGCTCCTTGCCATCACTTGGATGGCTAAGAAACAGAAGAAATACAAAGCACAAAATTCAGCTGCATGATCCAAATGAGTAAGGTGTTCCTTAAAGGTTGAGTAGCTTTATTCAACATTTTTTGAGATATGTAGTGTAATGTTCATAAAACCTATGTGAAAATAACCTGTGTTTGAGAAGCAGGGCTCGGAGCACATTGGCTCTGTCCTGTGCTCTGATCTGATCTGAGATAATCATCTGCTCCACAACCTGATGAGCAATACCAGGCAGCGTCTTCTGGTCCAGGTCCAACAACACTGCACCTGTAAAATTACACTTCAATACATCAGACTCACCAAAAGGCATTTTAAATAGATCAGAAATAAAAGGAATTAGCAATTCATTCAATTTATCACTCAATTCTCACATTGTATTTGTAAATATATGTTTGTAAATGTGTGAGCTGGTCTCTCTCCTCTCTCTCACCATGAGAAATGGTCTTGCGGAGCTCCAGTAGGCTGCGGAATGAGAGTGAAGCTACATGAGGTTTGCCCCAGCGCTCTGTCTCCTCCTCCACATCCTCCTCAAACTTTATCCAACGAGCGGTTTCCTTCCAGTGCATCTCCTGGTTCTTATCCATCAGTAACTCATTCAGCTCAACAAACACCTGAGAGAACATTTACGATTTATCTGTCCTTTCTTTCAAAGTTGTACATTTTAAATCTAATTTGTACTTTAAAACTAATTTGATGGAAAGTCATCTGTTTAAGTTAGCAGAAATCATGTGTTCAGGTTTGGTTCAATAAACATTCCTTCTATAAAATACAAATGAGTTTACAACACCTCACAACCTTTATCAAAAAAATTTTTTTGCATAGTCCATGCATCATTGCAGGCAATGCTAAACACTTCATTTGAGGAAGCAGACAAGATTAAATTTAGTCTGCATTTCACTGTGGATTGTATCTGTTGGTTACATCACTAATTGAAGAGACTTTAAATTACACGTCAAATATGAATCCTGAATATTTTGTGTGCTTTAAAAATGGCAGTATATATATATATATATATATATATATATATATATATATATATATATATATTATATTATATATATATATAGCTGATTTGGTGCTCAAGAAATTTTTTTTTATCAGTGTTGCAATGTTGAATTTTTAAAGTATTCTTTGATGTGTAGAAAGTAAAAAAAACAGCATTTATTTCAAATAGAATCTTTTGTAACGTTATAAATGTATTTACGATCACTTTTGATCAATTTAATGTGTCCTTACAGAATAAAAGTATTAATTTCTTTCAGAAAAACGAAACATTTACTGACCCCAAATCTTTGAAAAGTAGTGTATATAATGCAATATGATGTCATTAATTTTTGGGTGAACTATCTCTTATTTAATTAGACCTGATAGCACCTTTTTCATTCTGTGCTTACTTTATCAGACATAAGTGTTGATATGGAGCGGCCGATTTGGTGGTAGTCAATGTTGGCACTGGGTGGGCCGAGCAGCACGAAAAGAAACCGCACCGGAATCGGCACTTCTAGAACTGACTCTAACAGAACCGCTTCCTGCAGTCTCACAAAGGCCATGGTGGGCTGGTCCAGGAAATCCACACTACCTGTGAAAATCGAGATAATCTGTATCATGGCTTGAACAGATGTAACATGTCATGTGCTGACAGTTATGATATCACAGAGTTAAAGGGTTAGTTCACCCAGCGGAGAGATCAAAACAAAACAACGGTTAAGAATTAGAAGTACAAAACGAGGATTTGTAAAGAATAATGTCGGAGTATTTCGATATAAGCCAAGAGAAGACTGGTTTTCCTTTGCTAAAGTAAGGAAACTTTGCTTCCTTTGATCCTGTAAACAAACGGTGGTTTTCACGAGACTCACCGGCGCATGCGCAGCGCTGACCTCATACGTCCTCCCGGAACTGTTTCTGTGTACAACTGCTAGCGCAAGCTAGATTACAGTGATTATTACGTTTTGAATATGGATATTTTTCTTACAAAAATGCATCGATTCACTACAGAAGGCCTTTATTCACCCCCCGAAGCCATGTGAGACACTTTTTTTATGGATGGCCGATTTTTATTTAACTTCTTTTGGACTGAAGCAATGCAACACCCGCTGAGTGCCAAGAAACAGTTAGAAAGATCAAAGACAATTTTTAATAAACTCCGACTGGATTCGTCTGAAAGAAGAAAGTCATATACACCTAGGATGCCTCGGGGCTGAGTAAAACGTAGCCTAATTTTCATTTTTGGGTGAACTAACCCTTTAAACACGGACAGTTAACTGACCCACAAGGACAACCGTTGCTTCTGCATCCTCAGGAATCTTCTCAAGCAGCTTCAGCTCATGTTTAGATTTGGTCTTGTGCAAATCAAAAAACTGGGGTGTGTCTTTCTGTGGAAACAAAGAGGAAAAATTCTAATTTTCTATTCTACCATTCTTTGCCTCCTAAAAACACACACAGATTTGAATGAACACGGTACCTCATTCTTATCGAAGTCTACACTACTGCGTGACTCAAAGTTACGTAGTCCTCCAATGAGTGGGTCTGTGGCAGGGGGCTCCGGCGCGGCGATATGGTTACTGCTATGGTAATGAGATATGAGAGAGCCAAGGCTGGTTGCTGAGATGTTCCGGTTAAACAAGCTGTGCTCCTTGCCATCACTTGGATGGCTAAGAAACAGAAGAAATACAAAGCACAAAATTCAGCTGCATGATCCAAATGAGTAAGGTGTTCCTTAAAGGTTGAGTAGCTTTATTCAACATTTTTTGAGATATGTAGTGTAATGTTCATAAAACCTATGTGAAAATAACCTGTGTTTGAGAAGCAGGGCTCGGAGCACATTGGCTCTGTCCTGTGCTCTGATCTGATCTGAGATAATCATCTGCTCCACAACCTGATGAGCAATACCAGGCAGCGTCTTCTGGTCCAGGTCCAACAACACTGCACCTGTAAAATTACACTTCAATACATCAGACTCACCAAAAGGCATTTTAAATAGATCAGAAATAAAAGGAATTAGCAATTCATTCAATTTATCACTCAATTCTCACATTGTATTTGTAAATATATGTTTGTAAATGTGTGAGCTGGTCTCTCTCCTCTCTCTCACCATGAGAAATGGTCTTGCGGAGCTCCAGTAGGCTGCGGAATGAGAGTGAAGCTACATGAGGTTTGCCCCAGCGCTCTGTCTCCTCCTCCACATCCTCCTCAAACTTTATCCAACGAGCGGTTTCCTTCCAGTGCATCTCCTGGTTCTTATCCATCAGTAACTCATTCAGCTCAACAAACACCTGAGAGAACATTTACGATTTATCTGTCCTTTCTTTCAAAGTTGTACATTTTAAATCTAATTTGTACTTTAAAACTAATTTGATGGAAAGTCATCTGTTTAAGTTAGCAGAAATCATGTGTTCAGGTTTGGTTCAATAAACATTCCTTCTATAAAATACAAATGAGTTTACAACACCTCACAACCTTTATCAAAAAAATTTTTTTGCATAGTCCATGCATCATTGCAGGCAATGCTAAACACTTCATTTGAGGAAGCAGACAAGATTAAATTTAGTCTGCATTTCACTGTGGATTGTATCTGTTGGTTACATCACTAATTGAAGAGACTTTAAATTACACGTCAAATATGAATCCTGAATATTTTGTGTGCTTTAAAAATGGCAGTATATATATATATATATATATATATATATATATATATATTTATTATATTATAAATAGAAATATTTTGTAACATTATACATTATAATATCTTTACTGTCACTTCTGTAATTTACGTTACGTTAAAGTCACTTTATGTAATGTTAAAAAGTTAAAATAATGTTAGTAATGTTAACAGACCTTATTCTACTCATAAATCAAAAAGTGGCATTCTATCATGACTGAACAGCTCTACAAAAGTACAGTTCTACCAGTGTGAGCCTAGTTATACACAGTTCTGATACTGTGACCATCCACTGCCTTCCACAAAACCAGTGGTACAGATGTGGTATTAGCAAACAGTGCAAACAAGCTTCAGCTGTTCCACAAAGCAATCATACCAGCTCTGTGTCACCCTACCTTCAGCTGTTGGGCATGACGAACCCTGTAGCCCATGTAACAGGGCCATGATCTCCTCTAACAAACAACAGTAGGCTCAGTGAGCCAAAGGTAGTAATACCCCAGCTTTGTACAGCACGCAATCTAAAACGATGCTTTACTGTATTTTCTCCTCAGTATAAGAAAGCATTACAGCTAAAGTGAGAAATTTGCTCGATATTGAAACTTTTAGTAGGTTGATTTCCTGAAAAGTGTGAAAACATTGTTCTTTTGTTTGCACATTTTGACCAGCCAAACACAGCAATATCGACCAATTGTGTGAGTTTGGGGTGGTGCTATTTGTTTGATTAACCGATAACAGACAGGGGGAGTGTTAGGGAAATAGTCTTTTAAGATTTTAATAATCATAGTTTTACAATTCCATTATTGACCACTAGAAACTACACTCTTTAAGGTGATACTGATGACATAATATGCATTTTTTATTTGCTACACCAAACATGCAAGCCTAAAAAATAGCTCCAAATGGACAGGGGAAAGATAATCTAGTTAGCTGGCGTCTCACCTCATGTGGGGTTCGATCCAACTTGGTCCGGATACGACTGCTGGGCTCTTTGTGGTCCTTGCCGATGTGAACCACCTGACCTTTAGCACTCTTCTTAACCAGGTGCCGCCGCACACCAGGGACATCTTCAAACCTGTGACCTGCAAGAAAGACAGCAACACGGTGCTGAAATACTAAGCCAATAGTGTAAAAACAACAAACAAGTCAGAACAACACTGAACCCATTGTAACTCACTGTGAGTATCAGTAACATTGACAATACTGGCTATATTACACACAATACTCAGCATCCAAACACAGAACCACAAACTGAAAACTCAACTGAGCGCTCACTAGAACATGACTCCGTTTTGTGTCTCAAAGTGATCTATTGTTCAGTCAAAATTATTTGTAATTACAGCACACACACACACACACATACAAAAGAGACGTCAAAGGCACAGTTGTAGTGGGCAGCTCTGCACCCTTTGAGAATGTCCACATTCCTGAATCACAGCCACAGATGGTCAGATGTACAGACTGAAAACATGATTTATTCTCAGAAGAATGAGAACAGAAAGGTAAATAAAGGAGTCCTTTATAACCGGGAAAACAAATACATTTTCTTGCACTCCAAACACGTCACTGATGATCAGCTGAAATGCCCATTACTCACTGAAAAACAACAAATCTCACTAATAACTAATATAATGCTAAACTATACCATGGGAGGTACTTACATAGGTTTCATGGGTAGTTGGAAAATTTTAATTTTTGCGTTAAACATATTAAACAGAATTAATATTTTACAAATAAAAATATTTAAAAGGCTGTCAATCGATTAAAATTATTTGTGTGTTAACATATTCAGTTCATTTTATTATTATTAATAATAAATATTAGACTTTGCATTGTATCATTGATTGCATATATTATTATATATAATTGATTATGTATTATTTTTTAGAATGTACATTCAATTTGTATTTAATTATAATAATCATTAACATTGTGATCATTCTCTGATTTAAAAAAAAATAAATACTTGTAGATTTCTATTTCAAATAAATACTGTCCTTTCATCACTATTTGTAAAAAGTTACTGAAAAAAATTAGCACAGTTTTCAAAATAAATATAATAAGCACAGCTGTTTATAATAAGAAATGTTTCTTGAGCAGCAAATCAGCATATTAGAATGATTTCTGAAAGATCATGTCAACACTGAAGATTGCACTAATGGCTTCTGAAAATTCAGCTTTACCACATGAACAAGTTACATTTTAATATATGTATTAAAACAGAAAACTGTTATTTGAAATTGTAATAGTATTTCACAATATGACTGCTTTTTACTGTATCAAATAAATGCAGCCTTGGTGAGCATGTTAGAGACTTCTTTCAAAAACATTAAAAACATTCTTACAGACAACAAACTTTGGAATGGTGTATGATTTAATAAAATTATTAATATATATTTACACATAAATAAATGTTAAAACTCTTCATTGACCTTAAGTTGCCAAATACATCTTTTGTCAATTGTTACACAAACACACATACTCACTTTTAATGCCATCCAGGTCAACTGTGGCGAGTGTCTGCGCCTCGCTCTCGTCAGTGGGCATGTATTGGTAGTGTTCTAGTGCAGTGCCCGTCATGTTGCCTGTGCGGCGGCGCTCCTGCAGATCATAGCTGCGTGTCTTGAAGCTGCCGTCTGGCGAACTCAAACTTGGAAACAAACATGGTGCAGAAACTCGTCTGCCATTGGGCAGATTACGAACCCAATTTCTGCCCCTGCGGCGGTAACAAAACATAGTGAGGTTGAACACACACATGTATTTGAATTGTTCTATGTGTTTGTGTATGTGTGTGTGCACATGTACACTTACGCGGTTGTCATAACATCTTCTGGGATGCTGATACTGGTGTGTAGCATTGAATGGGGTATGATTGGCAGCTTTCGATGTGGTGAGACTTTACCGTTCTTCTTTACAATGGAGTCAGGATCATCTTCTGATACAAAAAACTGTGGGCCAACAAGAGAGAAGTTAGTAAGATCATAACAAGAAGAGTGTGTGTGTGTGTTTGTGTGAGACTTGACTACCTGTGCCCGCTCAGCATCCACCTCTGTGTCCGTGTCCGGTGTAGGTGTGGTGGTGACATTGCCCTCTTTATCCTGCTGGTTACAGGAATCTTCATCCACCTCTTCATCCTCGTCATCCTCATCTATTGGGGGAGCTGCTCCCATAGATGAACTCCTCCTCCGTCCTGAGTCCTTGCGCTTTCTTCCGGGCTTTTTCCTCCGGACCTCTGGGAGGTGTTTAGACAGAGGGTGGTGAATGTGTAGAGAGGTGTGACGGTGATCTAAAAATGCCAAAAACATCACAGACTTAGAAGAGCATCACTGCAGAGCCCCTTAAGGGAAATGGTCATGGTAAAAAAAAAAGAGATGGGACAAATTTTTTTATTTCAATGCTTTTGTGTTCCCCCAAGAAACTTTGCATTACCTTACAAAACTTTTGAGAACAAAATCATATGAAGTGGGAGGGAAAACTATATTTCAGTGCTCTATATCGCAAACAAACACCAAGTTTCTCGGCAAAAACAATACTTTTGCGAGAGAAGTTTCTCAGGAGAACACAATAGTTTTGCAGGAAAACGCAAATGCATTGAAATGTAATTTACTTTCCCCTTTTGAGGTGAAATTAATTTCCCATTGAGCCATTTATTATTCATTGAGCATTTGATAATTAAATTTTTTGCGGTCCATGGAAGAAAGTCATTTTGGAATGATGTTTTATGGAAGAGTAAACAATGACAGAATTTTCACTTTTGTTGTTTTCTTTGGAGGCAAATATTTTAGAAAAAACACCATAAACCACTATAAATATCTATAAAACAGTCAAATTAATATGCATTCTCATTTAATTTAGTCATATATAATATGAAGAGGTATAGACCAGAAGGCTATAGACCAGATGCATCAACAGTAAAGCTCTCACACTCAAAGTCCTCCTCATTAAATGTGCGGTGTTGTTCGATGGGCACGCGCTGGGCAGGTGTAAGGATCTGCTGGAAGCGCTGCACTCCCAGTGTCTTGTTCAAGTCCCCTTCATCATCATCACCATCACATCGCTGGGGCGAAGAATGCACTGCAACAGGCTACATGTAACCAGAGAGAAAAATATTAACTTTCATTTCTTTTCAAATAGCCTACATAGATGGATATCAAAGCAGATGTTATGCAAGCAAAGAGAGTCATTCAGACATGCATTCTCAGGTTCTTATTTGTACATCATAGGCAAGGTGAGTTAATTTATATAGCACATTTTATACACAATGGTAATTCAAAGTGTGTTACATAAAAAGGATTTGAAAATGATCATAAAATATACATAACAGATGCATAAGAAAAATACAAATTGATTTAAAATTGATTTAAAGTGAATTAAACAAAAAAAGAGAAAATAATATTTAAAAAAAGGATGATTTTTGTATCTGACATAAATAAATCTTATAAATCTGATAAATGAAATCTCCCACAATAAAAGTGCCTTTTTCACTGAAAAATAATTTATGAATATTTTCAGTTGTTTTAAATATACATTTTGTCATCACTGCTTGTAATATTCCATAAACAAGCTACTTAGTCCATACTTATCAATACTGTAATCATGCAGCAAAAAAACTCATGATTTGCCTGCTGGTATATGCTGGAACTACACCATCTGGTCCCAAAAAGCCTCTTTCTCCAGTGACAGTCATTCAAAATTAGCTGTGCATTATGACAAAATACATCTTCTAAAAAAATAAAATGCTCTTTTATATTTTACAGTTTGCCTTCAGCCAATCAGCACTGTCGTACCATTTTCCTGCATCAGCTGATTAATCAGTCACATGGCATTTCCAGCTCAGCTGATTGGCTAAAATAAAACCTGGATGCAGCATTGAGTGCTTATGAGCAAAGACAGCAGATTTCAAATCACGCACTTCCAGGGGTCAACTGTCGATGAAATGATTGTGATTGCAAACGGAATACTTCCTCTAGGTATTACATTGTTGACCTCCTTAGTAAATGAATTACATATCTGTATATATTTAAGGATGGTATCTGTCTCTCTCTATGCTCATTTTCTCATTCCTTCTCTTCTCCCCTGCTGTCTGTGGTATGCTATCCTGAGGATAAACTGAGGCTTGTGGTCATGTGCTTCATTTAATTCTGTGTTTTGACAGAGGGGCCCCGCTCCAGGTAAAACTAACATGCTCACAGATGCCAAGCTCTGGCACGCACACGCTCAATCAAGACTCAGCATCCTGTAGCTCATCCCACCAGAGCCACAGAGAGTGAGTCAGCACTCCTACAGCCACTCACAGGGTCGCTCAAGTAGATCATGACTAAAGTCAGGTTAGTAATGCTGAATGCATCAAGGAGTCAAACGAAGATGTTGTCTTACTTATGACGATTTTGGACCATGGAAATCTTGCTGGTTAGGCTTGTTAAGAAGCCTGGTAAGATACACACACACAACCAGTGAGGTGGACCAGAAAACACAATATAGTCAACCGTTTAGACCAGCGGTTCCCAAACTGGGGTGCGCAGACCGACCAGCAGGGGTGCGCGAGAGAATGCTTTTGATGATCTGTGTGCATTTTTTGATGTGGCAAATGAAAGAGAATTTTACTTGCCCGACCGGACAACTAATCTAATCTAATTAAAACATCGAATTAGGGAAGCACCCAAATTTCGGCGTATATGACTCTGATTTTATTACATTTGGTGTAAACGGCAATTCATAATGGATAATCAATAGTAACAAGGTCGTGGCAGTTGAGACTCACGTGAGACAATCTCATGGAGAAATCGAAACTAATGAACACAACTGCACACAGAAGAAACATACTGCGGTAAAAAAGTTTTAGTTTTTATATTTATTACATAGTTATAGCCTAGCCTAATTAATTAACATGACACGACTAAGAGAGTGCAGTTTTCCCCGAAAATCAGTACGATTGTAAATTCAACATTGATTTTAAACAAAACGTCAAACGAGTAGATAATATTAAGTGATTTAGGGCATAAATTTTAGTACAATAATGTCAATGTGACTGTTTTTGCTCGATTTGTTTAACGAAAATAGTTCCAAACAAACTTAGCAGCAGAAATGTCGTGCATCTCTGAGCAACACACAGGTGTTTCGTTACTGAATGATTTTTGAATTCATAATTTGAGTCAATGATTCAATGGTCCATTCATAAAGACAGGCGTTTGCTTCATTCTTGAATGAATCAGCCGTCTGAACGAATCGTTTGAATGCCTCAATGACTCACTCATTAAAACAGTCACTTGCTGCCACCTGCTGGCGGGTTACTTTCAAATTTAAGAGTAACTCTTTTTTTTTCTTTTTTTTCCAACTTTTCATATTCGTAAATAAAAAAACCTGATGTAAAACACCAAGCTCACAGCATTATTTATGCTGTTGTAATTTTGCAGTCTTAATGCATTCATGCTACATTTCAGCTTCATTAAATTGTCTGTGTAAATGCATCTAAATGCCACTTCAGCTGCTTCTGTTTCTGCAGCAGTGTAAAAATTGGTTTTATTAATACTGATTTCATCTGATTGGTAACAGCCCTATAGAGCAGGGATCCTCAAATCTGGCCCACGAGATCCACTTTCCTGCAGAGTTTAGCTCTAACCCTAATCAAACACACCTGAGCATGCTAATCAGTGTCTTCAGGATCATTAGAAAATCACAGGTAGCTGAGTTTGATCAGGGTTGGAGCTAAACTCTGCAGCGCATTGGACCTCCAGGGCAATATTTGAGGAACCCTGCTATAGAGTCTTATTATATTATGTGAAATTATTAATAAAATGTAAGAATTTGATTTGAAAGATGACATGCACTTAATAAGTTTAGGGGGAAATGCCCTTTTTATAGGCAAAAAACGTACATACAGTTATGCAGTAACTTTAGTCATATAAAATTTAATTTTCCAGCAACAAAATTGTGGCCAGTGAAAATGCTGAGTGGCTAGTAATTTTGGAAAACCACTAGCCACAGTGGCTGGTGAGCAAAAAAGTTAATGTCAAGCCCCGTATACAGTGAATACTTGCATTTATAGTTGTATTGCAGTTAAAAATGTGGTGTTTAACCGGAGTACGGTGGTGGGGGTGCTTGACATGTGTCAAACACTAGAAAGGGGTGCATGCTGCAAAAGGTTTGGGAACCACTGGTTTAGACCATCAAGACACTGAAAGGTAGCCGCAGTGTATAACCATGGCAACCATATGCTAGGTAGCCCTCAAGAAGAGGAAGCAGAGGATGTGATATCAAGTATAGAGTTGATTCCTTGCAGCAGGATCTAATCAGAAACGTATCTACACCCCAGCCTTTGACATCATCGGCCATATCTATAGTCACATCCTGATCCCTTACATGCGTAGTCATTTTGTGTTTTTACATTAAGATTTACTGTCATGTTATTTTTTTAAGCTCTATTTTGAACTTGCGATCGAGAGGGAACAAACAGAGGGAACAAACATTTCTGATTGGCTGTTTTGTAATTGATTGAGTGGCATCACACCCCACTTTCACGTTTCGTGTCAGACAAATTGCTTGTTGCAACAACCTAGTTTGGACATAGTAGACATAATTCTTATTCCATCAAGGGCACCAAGTCAGGAATGTTACTAGTACCTCCAGGTGCATGAGACCCCTGTAAACACACACACACACACACACTCACATTCCACCTCCTCAAATCCATCTGTCTCTGATTTGCCTCCATCATCTACACCTGGCTCAAATATTTCTGATAGAACTCAAAGCTTTGTGTTCCTGAATACTGAATCCTCTACGCAGGGATTCAAGTTTTTTCAAAGGATGAAATGTGATGCTCCTGTCACTTCACTTTCCTCCCTCCATCCACACAGTGAGAGACTCATATTAACTTACATTTTCCCACAGAAGTGTCACTGTCTATGTGAGATCTGAGCACCATTTTAATATGGAGAACAATGCTCAGGCTGAATAAGCGCAGATCTTGCAGAATTACACAATTGTTTTACCAGACAGATCCGCTGGTGAATTGAAAACCATCATGTAATCAGGTATTAAAATTATGTTTCAAGATGTTTTGTTCCACCCACTCTGAAGTAATATTTATTACAAGACACATTTCCTGTGACAATTTCCACTTTATGTATGAAATAATATGATAAACTGATATCATCCCTAAACATACAGGGTGTTTCTTCACTAACAGAATGTGACTGCTTCAATTAGCAATTTTGTCTTGTGTTACATTAAAAATATCTTAACATCTTTAAAAACAAGACCTTATTACTTGCATAAGACTATTAAAGCAGCACTATGTAACTTTTGGTGCTCTAGCGGTTAATAAAAAGAACTGCACACATCCCGCGGAAGAACATTCCAACCGGAGCTACTTATTTACTACTATATTTTTTACAGTCTGGTAATGTTCCATAACTAGATGCTTAATAATCATCTACTGTTCAGATGATTATTTAAGGATCTATTATACATTATTCACACTGCAGAATCATCAATAAGAGCTTTTATTAATACAAGCTTTGTTGGTAGGAGGTTTGACTTCTCGATTGTCACTGCTGAGAGCCCCTGTGCTCACCATGAGTGTAAGAAGCAAGTCCATCAAGCCATGCATGGCTCTTTGAGGAGCAGAAAACCAACCAGATGAAAGCTAACTGAAACACTACAGTGTTCCAGGGACATATTTAAAAACCAGATGTCTTCATCACTGCTGTATAATGGCACAACATGTTCCTCAGAAGTAAATAGATTTCTGGGTATGGCATGTTAGGTGGCTCTGTCCCCATGGTTACACTAATAGTTTTTTAATCTTATTAAATCAGACCTCTGGAGGATCATTGGCAAATCTTTCTCAAAGTGACCAGACCACTGCTAGAATCTCACCAAATCAGTAGAACAGGCCAGGGCCGGCTCCAGGCATGGGCAGGGGTGGGCTGAGCCCACCCAAATGACTGTCTTGCCCACCCAATCAGAATTAGATAAAGATTACGTTAAAAAAAATTGTGCATAGATTAAAACTAATCTGAAGCCGACTGTATTTTGAGAAGTTTAAAGTTTAAAGGGGTCATATGATGCGATTTCAAGTTTTCCTTTCTCTTTGGAGTGTTACAAGCTGATTGTGCATAGAAAAGATCCCTGAAGTTGCAAAGACTAAAGTCTCAAAACCAAAGAGATATTCTTTATCAAAGTTAAGACTCTGCCACACCCCCCTAAAACGGCTCGTTCTAACACGCCCCCACATATCTACCTCACTATGTGGAAATAGGTGCGTTCGACTTCATACCGCCAAAACCGATCGGCGGCCGACTTGAAGCAGTGCATGCCGGTTAGAAATTTTGTCCGACTTGAACCGGCGCCGACTCCACGTCGTCACGTGTGGCATCAAAGTACCGCGATATCGTTTCGAGAGCAGCCGGCTGACTCAGCTGGCGCAGCTTTTTCAGAGCGACTGCAGGAGCGCTGATGACGACACAGCTGTTTCAGATTGGCCAAATTCACCACATGACAACAATGACGTGTGTTTCTAACATCTTCAAATCCAATACTGCTAATAAATCTGTGTTTAGAACATTAAAAGCTTTTTTACTGTAGTGAGTCACGTTTATCATGAAAGCATATATACCCCCACTTTATTAGTATTTAAATAGTATATATTTACTTGAACTTTATTCTTGAACAGATGGTGCTGTATTAAGCAGTATATAAAAAGTGTTTCTGTTGCTCATGAAAACGTTTCTGAAACGTCTGTGTATTTGACAAATATTGCATTTAATTCACTTCATCTGTGATAGAGTATGCAAACACTGCGCGAGCGTCACTAACGGGAGCAGAAAGTGTCCGGCTTGACGGCTCCGTTTTCAACTCCACCTTCGACTGCAAGCGGCTACTCTCGCTGACTGCCGTCTGTAGCGATGCTTCAAGTCGAACGCACCTATACAAGCTTCATCACTGTGTCTGTCATGTGATTCTGTTCCCCTTTCGGGCTCTGTCTTTACATTTATTTTGAAAGATGAAGCTCGCGATTATGGTAAGGGGCGTTACATTTCCGACGAGTGCTTGCGGTGTTCGGCCAATCACAATGCACTGGGTCAGCTGGCCAATCAGAGCAGACTGCGCTTGTCGGAAGGAGGGACTTTGTAGAAAACGAAGCGTTTGAGAGAGGCAGGGCATAGAGGACCTACAATAATGTACAGTATTTGAAAAATAATGTGTTTTTTGAACATTAAAGCATGTCAACATATTCTGTTACACCAAATAATTATCTTTAAAAAAGCATCATATGACCCCTTTAAGCTATAGCTTGAGACTGCCCAAACAATCATAAAATAACTCCAGAAAATTGCAGCATATTTATTTTATTAGCTTAACGTAAGGCGCGCTGAATGCACAGAGACTTCATGAATGCCCACCCAGGATATCTGCCAGCCCACCCTTCTATAGCTGTCAAAAACCGGCCCTGGAACAGGCACTTAATGATGTTCCTAAGCACATATACCACACACACACACACACACACACACACAACTTCTGAGAACCATAATCAAATATCTGCTACTTTCTGAAAGCTTTACATGCTTGAACCCAACAAAAACAGATTTTCTGATTATTAGCAATGTACTTTTGAACAATCCTGATATCAGTTCTTACATTAACAAGATTGATTTTTACTGTATTTTCAATGGCTGTGTGAAAGTGTACTATACCAAATATATTGTGATATACAAAACCTCACAACTACAAAACGACTTTCCATTGAGTTGTACTGACATACAATGGACGATTCACAAACAATCAGTAAATTAAAAAAATACCAGTGACCAGTGTAGCCTGATTCCTTAACCAAATGACTCTTATGAGCCGATACTTTTTAAATAGTCAAAAACACAGCACAACCAGTGTAGTCCAATTCTCAAACAGAATAACTCATATGTTCTGGTTCTTTTAT